ACGACGGTGGCGACGGCCGGGTCGGCGAAAGCAGCTGGGCGAAACCAGCGGCCGGGTTGGCGAAACCAGCTGGGCGAAACCAATGTTGGCGGAACAAGCCGTCGGCGAAACCCGCTGGGCGAAACCAGCGGGTGCGTCGGCAAAGCCTGCCCCCCAAAGAACCAGCGTCGGCGAAACTGGCCGTCGGCGAAACCAGCCGTCGGCGAAGCCAGCCGTCGTCGGCAGGAGGGGATGAAGGATGAGAAGGAGGGCGTGGGACGAGGGAACAAAGGGATGAGGAGAGGACGGGTGAAGAAGGGGAGGATGACCTGCAACCAGGTCTCCCCATCTCTCCAAGCTGGATTGGATCTGGAAGGCCGCCGCGGCGAGGCGGCACTGCCGCAGCACTGCTGCCGGGGCAGCAGCGGGGTCGCAGAGGGGCTGCAGTGGGACCGCCATCCGCGCGCCGGCGTCGCCGCCGCGTCCTGTCCTGCAGAGCCCCCCGCCGCAGCCCTGTGGGCGAGCGGGGGGGCTTAAAACAGGGCTAGGATCGGGATAAATCGCTCCAGAGCGTTCCGGAGCGCTCTCAGAGCGTTCCGGAACGCTCTGGAGCGGCCGCGGCGCCCAACACGTCCTCCAAACCCGCCGATTCTCAGAGATTTCGAGTTATCCCGATCCGATTTTGTCTCGATCTTCGCGTCGTTTTAGGGCTGGCCACGGATGCTCGACGCGGCGGGCTTGGGCCCGTGCCCGGATTGGGAACCCCCAAACCGGGTGGTGAGATACCAGGTGGCGACCTGGAATCCCCAAAAAGGTCACCGCTGGGTTTGGGGACGCGGGGTCACCACCGGGTTTTGTGACTCCTGGACCCACCAATGTCCGGGACATCCTCGGAAAACCGCACGAGTCCCCAAACCGGGTGGTGACACCAAATCGCCCGAGACTCACCGCCAGGTGTTGTCACCACCACGTTTGGGGACTACCAACCGGACTCGGGCTCTGGCTCGGGCCTGGCCCGGGGGCCTGGCCCGGGCCCGCGCGCCGGGGCCCCCAAAGGAGAGCGGCGCAGGGGCTCGCGCAAGAGAGGGGCGGCGGTGCCACGTCCGCCCTGCCGGGCCCCTCCTCCTCCTCCTCCTCCTCCTCCTCCTCCTCCTCGTCCTCCTCGTCCTCCTCCTCCTCCTCCTCCTCTTCCTCCTCGTCCTCCTCCTACTCTTCCTCCTCCTCCTCCCCCTCGTCCCCCTCCTCCTCCTCTTCCCCAACGTCCTCGTCCTAGTCCTCGTCCTCGTCTTCCGGGGGCGAGCGCGGGAGCGGCGCGGGGGCGCAGCGGGGCGGCGGCGGTGCGGCCGGGGGGCGCTCGGGGGCCAGCTCGGCGCGCCGTGTGCTGCCGAGGAGCGGCGGCCGAGCGCCAGAGCGCGCGAGCAGTCCTGGGCGTTGCTCCGAGGAGGGGGCGGTGCGTGGGTGGGGCGGAGGCGCGTTCGCCTTTCGCGCCCCCTTGGGGCCCCAGGGCGCCCCTCTGGGGCCCCTTGGGGGCACGAGAGGTGCACCGTTCTGCCCCCCCCCCCCCCCCCCCCCATTGATCGTCGCCCCTCAATCGCACCACGACTTCGGGGCCCCCAGAGCGGCGCAGTGCCGCGATTTCCAGCGCCCTGCGGCGTGGGCGCGCGGCTGAAACCTCCCGGGCCTCCCGCCCTGCTGGTAGCGTCTCGCTGGCAGGGGTGCCTCGGCGCTCGCCCAGGAGGGCCCCCGTCCAGCAGAAACGGAGCCTGGCTGCCCCCGGCGCGCGGGAGCGCCATGCAGTCGGACCTGGGCCAAGGAGAGCGTCCCTCAAGAGCATGAGACCCTGCGTCGGCGGCCCAGACACAACAGAGCATCCAGGCGCACCCTCGCGAGGGCTCACGAGAGCCATCCAACAGACACGAAGGGCACCCGGGGTAGCCTACCAAAACCGACCCCGATCTTCGACCTCGGGCCGGCTGCACCGGGGAGCGGCGACGAGAAATCTTAGCCCCCCCCCCCATGACGCAGCGCCCGACGGTCGAGGTGGCTCCCGGCGCTGGGCAGGAGGGCTGGCGCCCCACGACCTCTCCCGCGGTGCGGATGCCCCGCCCGCGGGCAGAGAGGGGCCCACGCACTCCCCCCGCGCAGCGCGCGCGAGCGCGGGGTGCAGCCAGAGCCTTGCCAAATGGGATCTCACAGGGCTCGACCTGAGCGGCGGTTGTCGTTTTCGCTCCGCCTTCGCATTCCCTCGGTCTGCTTTCGTCCCGCCCTTGCTCCAGACACGCCTTCGGAACGGAGGCGGCCCACGAGATCGCCAAATCACAGTTTGGGCCGAGCCATGGGATCTCAGATCGGGAGCGGGGTCCCCTTTGGGTCTCGCTCGCGCCCAGATTCACGGAGATCACCCGAGGCAACGTGTGAGGAGCCGTCAAACCCCCCCGAGCCCCTTCCGAAACCGAGGCGGTCATTGTTCCGACGTTGTAGCATTACGACTGGATGAGGGGGGGGGAGGGAGGGAAGGGGG